TATATATATATATATATATATATATATATATATATATATATATATATAATTACAAAGTTTTATATATCTTAGTTTAAGAAATCTAATTTTATAATTAATTTCTTATTATTTCAACATGTTTATGCAAAAGGTTTAATTATATAATTTTATTCTATGAAACACATATATTTACATGGTATTAGATATTACCATTACTTTTAGTGAAGATTTAGAGGTTATTTGACTATGCTTAAAAATAAGTTTTTTAACGATATTGCCATTGCTTTTAGTGAAGATTTAGAGGTTATTTGACTATGCTTAAAAATAAGCTTTTTAACTTATTACCGGTTCCTTACCGGTTTAAATTAAAATGAATGTTTGGATATATAGTTTTTTAAAAACAGCTTATAGCGATGTATAACTGGAAATAAACTATTTTTGATAAATTGCTCCAAACTTATCAAAACTCCTTTTAATTTATAGCAGTTTCAAATTTCTAGGAAGTTTTTTTTTTGCCAAAAAGTAAAAAAAATGCTTATCAAGTTATAATATTTTGACAATATATAAGCTAATCCAAAAAATATTTTAAAAACTCTGTTTTGATACCGCAATAAGCTAACAAGTTAAAAAAAACACTTATCAATTAAATGAACACTCCTAAACTGTGGCGGATCTGAAACAAAAAATGAAGGGTTGTATAAATTTTTTAGAGGTTGCACTACTAGAAAAAAAAAATCATTTCCGAAGGCCTTTTCCATCACAAAATCGTCAAGAAACCAACAAATTTACACTAAATTCACAATTATTAGACTTTGTGATGAGTTCCCAACGGATTCGTAATAGATTTGTGACGGATTTCGACGAATTTTCACAAACTTACATTTGACGGGAAAATGTGAAGGGTAACATGTGTTACCCCGTGCTACATAATAGATCATTCCATGCTCCGAAAAACCCCCCTTAATAAAAAAAAGGTTCCTTTTACAAATTATGTAAATTTATATACATGATTTGTAGGTTGAAATAAAAGAAGTTAAGGAGAATTTGATATTTGAAGTTACTTTTTTCATACGGTGTAGTTAAATAAATCAATAAGGTTGTGATGCTCTGTATTAACGTGTTCAAAGTATATAAGGCTTTGTCATCATAATTAGGGTCTCACTTATTGTGTATATCCATGAATATAAACATAACTTTATATTAATTAGTCCTAGGTTCTCTTCCTTTATATATATACCCACGTAGACACATTTACATAGAGGATGCCAAATTAATTTTAGTTAGTTGGATTGGAAATCCATTAACCAATCTTGCTGATGGGAAAAATGACATTCTATCCTCCTTAACTTGGGTCCACCTGAAACAAGTAAATGATTTTGTCATGTTGGATTCCTAATATATATATA